TTTGAGTAGTATCCTTAGCTTCTCCATAATATAAGTACAAATGTTTTTGACAACATTAAGTCTTTTCTTGCTTAGTCAAGAGTTTAAAACATATTGTATCAATTTGCATTGGTTTTGGCCTCGATAAATAAGTTTTTAAAAACTTAAGAGTTGTTGTCATTAATTTATTTATTTTTTTTAGCAAAGTCTTTATTCTTAATATCTTTTAAATAATTACTTATGTCATATAATGGCTTGAGCAATAAATTCTTCCTAAGATTTTGCTTTCAATATTTTCAATAACAAATCTTTGACGTTATCCTTCAATCCATATTGAAATTGATCAATAAAGGCTTAGTCATTTTAGTCCATGTTGCAAGTAAGATTTTGGAATTTAGCAGAATATATAATAGTTGACTATGATTCTTATTGTAAAAATAAGAGCTTAGTCTCTATTACTCTTTCTTAATTATTTTTTTCAAATATAGTCATAAATACTTCTAAGAATGAATTCAAATCATAAAAGAGTTCTGAATCTTTTTTTTATTAATGGTACAAACCAAGAGAGAGCATTTTTAGATAGAAGTGTGCATATGAATCTAACTTGAGTATATCTATTAAGATATTAGAAAGAATACAATCATAAATAGAATTTGACTTATTATAAAAATCCTTAAAAGTTTGATCTTGTTCTATCAAACTTATTGGGCATATTAATCCATATCTCTATCATCTTTATAGAAACAAAATTTTCTAAATTTGATTGTGAGATTGATCTACTTGCTTCCTTCAATTGCACAACTTCTTGCTTTAGATTTTGAACTTCTTGCACAGGCATAGAATTAATATTTTTATAATTGGTATATATAATTTATGAAATTACCACTCTAAAAATATTAAAAAATTTGTAAAGATCTATAATAGTTATAAATCTATTTTTACTTCTACCAAGTATAGTATTTGTGATTTTTCTTTCGATTTCAAATAATTTAACAGATCCACAAATAAAGTTAGAAGATGATAATCAATAATCTCTAATATCAATTGAAAATTTCTACAAAAAAGAATAATCTAATTTTTTAAAAATAAAATAAAAATAGATGATAAAAAATTAAATAATTTATTTAAAAATTATTAATTAATAATATTTTAAATATAATAATAGAAGTAGAATAATTCACTTGCTTCTAAAACAAGATAAGAATAATGAGTTAGCACTCTTATCAAACGATTAAAGACATAAATCTCAAAAGAACTAAAAACTCAATATATTCTTGTGTCATTTGAAAGGACTAAAGAATCATTCAAAGATGATACATTATTAAACTAGAATGACTATTCCCAAAGATAAGTTGATTAGAAAGTCTTGAAACAAGACTAAAGACTAAAAAAGCATTGATAAGAGTAAAAAAGATTTTATTCTTGCCTCCATATATACTCTTAACTAAGAGCTATGTAGCGATGTCCTATAGGACCTCTAAAACATGTTGACTTTCTAAGATACATATCTTAACTTGTAAGACAAGTTTTCTATATGTATACCACATAGTTAGCTTGTTTTACAAACTATCTACATGTAATCAATTTATTAACCAAGTTTCTAACCTATCAATCACCTACAAATACATATAAAGTCAAAGCAGCATCTATAAAGCTTCTAAGAAGCTTCTTTAGAAAATATTATGAAATAAATTTATTTTTATCTATTTTTATTTGATCATATGGAAAAATGTTATAATAAAAATATATGTCCGTTGTTGTATTACAAGTTGTCTTGCTTGAGAATGCATCGGGCACCTAGCTGTGAAAGGTGAGGTTGTGTTTCACAAACATTCAAGAAATCCTAATATATTTTACTCATATGAAAAGAATATAATTCAAATTCCAATTCAAAATCACTGAAAAATATTCTTCTTAGTAGCTTTAGTCACACATAAACCTCAATTACCTTTTTACTTTCACATTTAAATAATTTAGATTTTTCTTATAATCCCCAACTCTAATCAATGAGCTTTGACAAGTTGTAACTTCTAATCTGACTATCCACTTGATGTAATATTTTGCATGCAATTGTCAATATAAGTCTCTCATATGCTCAAGAATTTTCAGCCCAATCCAACTTACAAATTGTGAGAAAACCTCCAAAAACTATATTAATGTCACTCAGCCACCAACTTGAAAGGTGAAGCAAAAGTTCCAACAATGTTTTTTCCTTCTCCAACTATTTACTTCGACTCAAAATTGGTGTGCAGCTTGATCTTCAAGTCTTTCAATATTATGCCAAATTTCACCTTGATCCAATTTGTAGATCTTTAGATATCATAGAAACCCTACCCAATCTCAAACTACCAACTTCATATATATTTTTGTACCAAATCCTAGATATCTCTCAATTGCACCATTGGATTATCACAAAATTTCATATACACTTAAAATACCTAATTATCCAAGTACTTTCAAAACTTGAACTATAGATGTAATACCAATTTTACGAACTAGTCAAGAGTGCTAGTCCTAATTTCTTTGCATAAATCCTACGTTACCAATACAAATCTTGAATTCCAACAAAAATTGTAAACTCTTCCCAAATCCTACTAAAACCAACCTTACGTCTCTAAAACAAGCTCTAATCTAGCTCTCAAATCTTAGTCTTCGAACTTCAAATGAATCCCTATTTTGCCATAGGTGGTTGTTTTAGTAGCTAGAGGTCTGATTTTGATCCTATCTCACAAATGGTTGATCCCTTAGTATCAATCTAACCTATCCTAAGGATTTTTTAGTGCAACCCTACCTTCAACTTAATCTTAGTATCAACTATACTAATTATTTACATCTTCTAATCTGATTTTATTAATTTATGGTCTTTTTAAGGTAGTAAAAAAGTTTTTACAGACTAGAAGGTAAAATTACTAACTAACCTTTAATCTACTAACTATTAAGATAAGAAAATAACCTAAGAGGCTTTTATAAAATCCATATTTAGATACCTTGAATTATTATTGAATCAAAATAATTATATATTAATTAGAAATTCAATTTTGATTATAATTTCACTATATAGTTGTATTACATTATGACACCATGACACCCATTCTAGATGACTTCTTAAAAATAGCTTGTAGTAGTTCCAAACAATACTTGATGTGACCACAACAACTAATCTCTAACTAGATGGTGGCTACCAACATACTACCAAAGAATAGACTAATATTCACTATAATATCAATGAAATGGGACTGAATTATTCCTAAGATCTAAGATCCTTTCAATCTATAGTAATATAAATTCCATTATAATATAAGTCAAAGTAGATCAGAAAAAAACTATACAAAATTAAATAAAATAGAACATGAAAGGAAAAAAAAAATAAAAAAATAAAAAAAATAGACCACGATTAAACCAAAAAGTGCAACCAAATTTTATTAAGAAAAAGGAATTAAAGCCATGCTTAACTGGATACCCAAATGGTCTTTGCTAGTCCTATTTATAATTTATTTAACCATCTTTGAACTTTTAGAATATTTTTAATGGTAGGCTCTATCTAAATAATCTCCCTAAGCTCTTTTTAGAATGTTCTATGGTAGATTCTATATAGACCACCAATTTAGTTCCAATTCTAATAACTTCTAAAAACTTTTCAAATATGGCTTTAACTACCTATTTCTATGCATTAATAATATAAATATCTTATTCATACCTTGTTACATATGTATTGGTTGAACAAAAAATAAATATGTTTTTTTTCATGTCTTCTTTGTCTCTTTCAAATTACAGAGTAGAGTAAATAGAAGTGAATAAGTATTTGAATAGTATTAAATCAAATTTGATTAAAAAGTGCCAAATCAAATTTGTTAGAATTTTATATACTTTAGAAGGCCTAGCATTAAAAAAAAAAAAAAAAAAAAAAAAAAAAAAAGATAGAGGGATGTTCTTAGAAGAGATTGTCCACCTAAAAAAAATACATAAGGATTTATTCTGCAAATAAATCTATAATATTAATTTAGATTCTAATTTTTTAAAATATAAAATAATATTTATATATTTATAGATTAAAGAATTTAAAATTCTAATGAATTTCAAAAACAAGGTATTTTTTAAAAGAATTCTTTATACAATATAATTTTTTTAAATCCACTAATATAACCACATATAGAAACACAACTTGTTAGAGTTTGCATGAAGTCTAAAAATCATATGAATTTATAGATTCAAGTTAAACAAATAAATTTGCATGATTGTTTGGAATTTAGAGAGAAATCAACATTAATAGTCAAAGATTAAGTAGCAACAAGTAATATAACCAAGAAGCCAAAAAAACAACAATCACAAACATTGTTGAAAGTTTTTTATTTTTGCAATTAGATGTAGAGTGCATAATATGCTTAAAGTAGTGCAACAATGGTTTATCAAAGTTTTGTAATCAAAATTAGTCTTTGATTTAAAATTACAATTTAGATTAGGATTTTTCTTTTTAAAATTGGGGTTTAAAATTTTATCTCTAAAGTTAAGATTAGAATTAAAATTGACTTTAGAATTGATTGGGGTTGCAATCTCTGCTCTTGTGAGAAATCAAGCACAATATTTGAACAATAGTGGAGATAGCATCACAATGTTGACTAAATTGATGTTAGAGGATTGTGGGTGATTGCAGGTCAAGTTGGTTAAGGCGTGACTCTCCATTTTGATTAATAGAAATCGACTAACCATGACATAAGTTGGGAAAAGTCATAGCAACTTGATCCGAGTTTCAACCATTGAACTGCACCTGTTTGGTGTCTCCATTCGAGCCTAATGTTTCGGATATGATATGATATATTGCAAATCAACGATTCGAAAGCTTTAGATGTGGAGGATAACTGTGACATTCGATTGAAGTTGCTTATCACACGGCGACGTTTTCTACGCTGGGCCCTGCAGTGCGCGTCGGATGCGGCACAGCTAAAACAAGATCCTATTTTTATGTGCAGAATCATCAGATGCACGTAGCTGCCGTGTGTTCTGATGAACACCAGGGGTGCTTATTGCAAAAATCACAAGAGCTATGAAAGTCAAGCTTTACTCACTGACAAGGGCTTTGTTAACGAAGCCTCGGAGTGACGCACAGGAGTTTTTAGCTGCTGGACTTGCGAACTATGCCGTGTGCCTGGGAAGCAGGAACACACTGCCGTCGCGTCTACGCTACGTCTGAAACTAGAACTATGTACAAAGGCCTGGGTCCACCTTGTTTGACACAATATCTGAAACCTGCGCTGCCGCAGGCTGATAGACAAGTTCGAAACAGGAATTAAACCGGGAGAGGACTATTGTACAAATGCATCTGTGCACACTGCACCAGTAGCCGCACCAGCCGTATACAATCAAGCAGATTCCTCAAGCATTCTTGTGACTATACGTTCAGGTGCACTATGGGTTATGAACATGTACTTCTCACGCGGGCTGCGCTGGGTTCGCCTGCGAGGAGGGGCTCCTGTGGATCCCGCCACTTCTCCTTGCCATATTTGTGGTGCCCGCTGGCTTTGACGACGCAGCGTCTCAGCAAGCATTTCCCTCCAAATCAATCCATCCTGATGTATGCAACGAGCACGGTTTTCGACGGATCGGGCAAAGGCAGAGGAAATGTTAAAATCCCCATTTAGATGATTGCAAAATTTGGTCAGAAGGGAGCAAATGCTATCTCAGAGATTTCCCTGATTAGTTTTCTGCAAGTGTAGTTGAACAACGCAGCGAACGCAACAATTGAAGACTTACCCTTAAGATGGAGCGTTCTGGTGGCGGGCACCGAGCTGGCTGATCCACATCTACGGGCTCTGAGGGATGCTCCACGGCTTCGAAGATCTCTAAAGGGGGCACGCCATGCAGTGAAGCGGCGGGACTGATCCGACTCCAACCGATTCTACCATCCTGCACACCGGTGAATCGACATCTTAGTCAAAAACGTTACGAAAAACCATGAAGTGAAAGATTGAGCTTTATGTGCTTTCGTTATGTGTTGGAGATTGAGACTTGAAGTGAGGTAAAAATATGAAAACCCATTGCAATAAGACCACCTCTTGTAATAAATTCCACGATAAGGGAAAAAAAAGAACAAAAAAAAAATAAATAAATAAAAAGGTCACAATTCGTGGACAATACCCTGGTTTAATTCTTTTTGCAGAAAGAAACCTTCCCACTAATTTTCATAATAATTCATTTCTCCAAAACCATGGAAAGGCCTTTCAAATTCTCAGCCCAAAAGCAATCAAGATTCTAGGCACTGAACAAGCAGGGCATTTGTTGACTCTTCAAAAGATTATCTTCCAACTCAGTGGCCACTGCTACACATGTCACAACATTCGTTGTGCAAAGCCACAAAGTCAGATAGCCACACCTTGTAACTACCACCTTAGGCACATCCAAATAGTTGAACATGGTTGCAAATCTTAACGTGCTGGCCTAACTCACACATTTCGCAAGCACGAGTGCCGGAGCTTCCTAGTCATATATTTCATACCGTCTAACTGATAACTGTAACATGTAGATTCGACTACAATGTACCTACCTATGAATAGAAGTAGGAGGCGTGATGATTCATAACCAGGGCTTTGAATAACCAACCAACTGACGCAGGCTATGCCCTCCAAAAACACCGGGCTCGCCAAGCGTCACTACAGATGACACAGTATGCGCACACACTTAACTGTTTCTTAAAAACAAATTCCACCCGGCACCACTGCGACCAACCTGTTTCGGTTGGACAGGCGGAATATTTTCGGACCAGGAAGGGGCAACTAACCAAGAAATGATGATGTTTAGGACGATTGCTGGGTCGATCGCAAGAGAGCTTCGTGAAAGCGCCCACCATCTCCCTCGCTGTATTCAACGCTTCCAATACACCACCTGCGTGACAACCCAACTCCCACCCCAGTTAATCATCGACAACATCATTACCAGCTGTCGAAAGTCCCCTCCCCTTCACCTGGCATTAGAATTCTTTTGCCAGTTTTGAATACGAGAACACCTTGTTACGCTCTTCGCATCCTTACGTATGCAAGAACTAGCAACTGTAACCGAAACCAGTTACGGAAATCTTCGCTATCAACCGCCATGGTCTCGAAATGAAAAAGCAAAATAGGAAAACGAACAACCTAGAGCTCCGAGTAAGAGCTCGAAGACAACACACATACATATGTATATATATATATATATATATACACACACACACACCTTGATGGAAGCTGACTGGGAACTGATCAACTTGTACTCGTCAAAGAGAAAATCTCCCCATCGTTATACGCACAGGCCACCATCGCTACTGAGACCACAGCAACGCAAGCTGAAGACATGACAGGGTGGTCAAACTGACACAGAAAAAAAACGAAAAAAAAAAAGAGGCTAAAACTGCGACGATGACTCTGAGGCTTACGTACCTTGATGAAACTGCCACAAAAAGCTGCGCCTTGCCTGCTACTGCAACGCGACCCTCTGCAGCGTGAGTCCAAAACATGACCCGTGACAGAATCGGGCAGCACAGTCATAACTTGCAGCGAGTGGGGGGGGGGATCGAACCGCGAGCTGAATTCGCACAGACGGGGGGGCAGTTAATGCTGGTGCTAAATTTGGGTCAGAGCCCGATCGAGTAGTGGGTCCAAATTGGCTGAAGGTCATAAGCAACTGCCGAACTCGATCGATCAGTGAGGATAATCACTTCCCTCGCCACGCGAGCTCATAGGCCAGGCCGCTGCTGCCGCTTGCGGCAATGGTAAAGAGAGCTCTGGTGGCGTCTAAATCTGGCTCCAGCTTTAACTGCTGCTCTCTGGCAGAAGACAGCACTTCTGCTTCCTTGACGAGGTGGAGGCTCCAGGCCACGATGTCCCTGCCCTACACCACAACCTCCTCTTCCGTCATGACTCTGAATAGAATAGATAGATAGATAGATAGATAAATAGATTAGCCCCTCCTTTCCTTTCCCTCCCACCTCTCCCCTTAAAGTGGCTGCCTGGCCCTGCCCTGCTGTTGACTTAGAGGAAACTCTTTTTATAGCACTTGACTTTGCTTTCGCAGCTCCGTTGCTCCTCCCTTCGTCCATTTCATAGCCTTTTGGGGTGGTGTGGTGTGGTTTCGGTGGCGGTTGCGGATGCTATTGTGAACTTGATTCTCAAAAGGGAAGCGTAGGTTAGGAATGATTTGAGGTTATTAATATATGGTTGGTTGTACCCACGTTTGTAAAATAGCACCCTACTCGTTGGGGTCTTTAATTTCGGGTGTTTAAATATAACTTTGTGTGACGGAACCTTAGAAAAGGTTTTACATTTGTAGTGTAGGAAAACTGAACAGAACAAAAGCGGGAGGGAATTTGTAACTTTTTTTTTCTTCAAGGAAAATCTACTTATTGAAGAATATATTTGTGAAAGTTTTACCCTAATCGAAAAGAAAGTTTTCTATACCTAACTCATGTGTAGCGAAAATAAAAATTGAAATGACTTAAATGTTTGGCATAATGAATTAAAGAATTTAAAATATGATTCTTCAATAAATCAATACTTCATTATTCTTTTTATATATAACCAACTACTTTGTAAAGTTACATTCAATGTATTGTACTTTTATTATAGTTTTGATCTCTTTTTGCTTATACATTGCATAAAAAAGAATAATATTGTCATTAATAAATTCAAAGCATAATATTGACTTTTCAAAAATTAAATTTAATACTACAAACTTGAAGTAAAACAATTAATAATCAAATATATTTTTAAAGAGTTCTATGCTAAAATTTCTAATATCAAGGTTGTAATTAATATTAAAAAGATCTTATTTTATCTTAATATATTTATGTAATTATAAAGATAGTAAAAATTAAATAATTTTTTTAGTATTTAAAAATAAAAATAATTTAAATTTGAAATCTTTAGACTTAGTAAAGATTTTAAAACTTAATATTTTAAAATTATAAAGATTATTCTTAATTTACAAAAAAAAGATTAATAAATATCTCTCTCTCTCTCTCTCTCTCTCTCTCTATATATATATATATATATATATATATATATATATACTTTTCATATTATTAAAGATATGAATTTTGAAAAAACAAAAAAAAAACAAAAAAAAATTCAATATACCTTTGTATCACTTAAAAAGATTATAAAGTCATTCAAAAATGATAATATATTGAATTAGAATGGCTATTGCTAAAAACAAGAAGACTAAAAAGTCTTAAAACAAGACTAAGGACTAAAAAGGCATTGACAAGAATAAATAAGGCTTCATTCTTACTTCTATATAAACTATCTAATTAGGAATTATGTAGCAATATTCTATAAGATCACCATTACGTGTTGACTTTGTAAGATACATGTTTTAACTTGCAAGATTTTTTTTTTTTTATGTGCGCCATATAATTAGCTTATTTTATTAGCTACCAACATGTGTGGCACATGGTTAACTTGTTGACAAAGTTTTTAACCTATTAATCAAAAACAAACATGTATAAAGTTAAATCCATGTCTATATGTCACGGACATACATATAATTACCTATATGAATAGATAAAAGTATGTAAAAGTAGATAAAAGTAGGTTAATTGTGTAATATCTTCTAGAGAAGCTTCTTAGAAGCTTCATAGACGCTGCTTTGACTTTATAGGAGTCTATAGTTGACTTTTAGGTTAGAAACTTGGTCAACAAGTTAGCCATGTGCCACACATGTTGGAAGCTTAAAGAACAAGCTAACTACGTGGTCCATCCATAGAAAACTTGCCTTGCAAGCAAAGGCATGTGGCCTAGAAAGTCAACATATATTGGAGGTCTTATAGAACATCGCCACGTGGCTTCTAGTTAGATAGTATATATAGAGGCAAGAGTGAAGCCCTCTTCACTCTTGTCAACTCCTTTCTTGCTTCTAGTCTAGTTTCAAGGGTCTCTAGTTTTCTTGTATTTTGGCAATAGCCATTCCAGTTTCTTTCTTAATATACATATTTCTATTTTGTCCTATTTCTTTTTGAGAAAAGTCTCACTTACTCTTTAGCTTTCATCGAGTTCTTGTCCTTGACAGATTGACAAGAGTACACTTACAATATCAGAGCTTTGTCTTTTCTTGATTAAGAGTGGATTACCCCTTTTTCTTGATAAGACATAAGCACATTAGAAGTTGCGGATTACCCTCTTTTAAACTGATATTGTTCTTAGTATTTTCTTTGTTATCAATTCCTCTCTTCTATTTGTTTTGAGCGTTATTAGACATCTTCTCTTTTCTAAGTGCTACTATGGCAGAGCTTGTTGAAATGAAGAGTGCAATGGCACAGATGCAAGAGCAATTGAGGGAGTTAATGCTTGCGATGCATCAACTCAATTTACCACCACAAGGAGCAACAAGAATGGTAGGAAGTGAAGATATAGAGATGATTGGGGCTGCTTCAACATCTACACCAAACCATGTCCCTTCTCCCAGAATGGAACACCCTTCGAGTGTTAGAGAACCGAGAGTTGCCTTGCCCGAGAAGTTTGATGGTACCAGATCCAAGTTTCGAGGATTCATCAATCAGGTCCAACTAGTAATTGAACTTCAACCCCAGAGCTATCCAACTCCAGGGTCACAAGTTAGATTCATTGGTACACTTCTTTCAGGTTCAGCATTGTCATGGTTTTCATCTTTTCTTGAACGACGAGATCCAATATTGGATAATCTGGAGGCTTTTTTGGCGGAGTTTCGATCCATGTTTGGAGAACATGATGCAATTCGTGTTGCAACCAACAAGATCCGTATTTTGCGACAAGGCAATCGATCAGTAACATTATATGCTTCGCAATTTCGACAACTTGCAACTGATATCAAGTGGGATGATGCCGCACTTGTGAGTCAATTTCTCTACGGATTACAATATGAGGTAAAGAAATTGATGCTTAATTTACCTGATCCTCAAACATTGAGTCAAGCAATTGACTTTGCTGTGAAGTGCGACAATCGACTTTTTGAATTTCGATCCGAGAGTCGTACAAGTGGGCCTCAACGTTACTACAATTCAATGGCAACACCGACGTCTCCTCAACACATACCTTCGGAAGTAGAGGATATGCAAATTGATGCGGTACGTTTCAAACCTCTTACTGAGCAAGAAAAGTCTCGTCGTCGACAAGAAGGATTGTGCTTATATTGTGGAGAACCTAAGCACACTGCTCAACATTGTCCAAAGAAGCGACGTAACTACAAAATGAGGAGTACGACTGTGAAAGAAGACAGTATGTCGGAAAACGAGTACGTCCAGCTACAATAGGGACCGTGCGGCTGGAATCTTGTACAACTTCTAATGAAGGTCCTATCCTCTCCTCAGAACCATCTCCTTGTTTTATAATAGATGTGCGTTTAGGACCTAATAATTACAAAGCCTCTGCCTTGATAGATTCAGGAGCCTCAGCTTGTTTTTTAGATGAAGAATTTGCTAGATGTCATAGAATATCATTAATACAAAAAACTAAACCTGTACACGTAGAAGTTATAGATGGTCGTCCGTTGTCTTCTGGAGATGTAACTCACGAAACACTTCCTGTAGATGTAGTAATAAATGGTCATAATAGTTGCGTAATTTTTAATATAATTAGATCTCCCTCTAATCCAGTAATTTTAGGCTTATCATGGTTAGAAAAGTATAATCCTCGAATAGATTGGATTTCTCGTAAACTTGATTTTCCTCGGAGCATTAGTAACAGTTCTATTAATCAAGTAAAAAACCATGAGTCTAGTATAGTAAAACCCGCACTTATAGGTGCAAAAGCATTTATACACGCAGCAAAAGAAGGATCAACTTTTGCTATTTATGCTGCACCTATTTCTGAAAGCGTAAAGACTTCAAGTGGCATTCCAAGTCAATATCAGGATTATCAAGACGTTTTTGAGAAAAAGAATGCAGATATTCTTCGTGAGCATCGTCCATACGATTGTTCAATCGATCTCAAGGAAGGAACTCAGCCACCATTTGGACCAATTTACAGTTTATCGCAAGATGAGTTGGCTGAACTCAAGACATATATTGACGAGAATTTAGCGAAGAATTTCATACGCCATTCAAAATCTCCAGCAAGAGCTCCAATTCTATTCGTAAAGAAAAAAGATGGATCTTTACGAATGTGTGTTGACTATCGAGGACTCAACAAGATCACAATCAAGAACAGGTATCCATTACCTTTGATATCAGGACTCCTTGACCAGTTAAATCAAGCTAAGATCTATACAAAAATAGATCTAAGAGGAGCATATAATCTAGTACGGATCAAAGAAGGAGATGAATGGAAGACTGCGTTTCGAACCAGGTACGGACACTTTGAATACAATGTCATGCCTTTTGGACTCACGAATGCACCAGCTGCTTTTCAACATCTCATGAATGATGTATTTCGTGAATTCTTAGACAATTTTGTCGTCTGCTATCTAGACGATATCCTGATCTATTCCAAGAACGTTGAAGAACATGAAATACATGTTCGTCGAGTATTACAAAAACTTAGAGATGCAGGATTGTACGCCAAGATGGAAAAGTGTGTATTTCACACTACTCAAG